TCCTAGACCTGAACCGCGGAAATTTGAAAAAGGCATTGTCGAGTCTGTCGAAGTGTGATGAAGATATTAGAAACGTAGAAAAATTAGACTCACGAAAGTTGAGCGAAACGATTGCGTTGAACACGCTAAAGAGCAGAGTGAACCTTCTCCGCAGTAAACACGAAGAATGGACGCGGCTAATTTCCGAGATGAGTGGGGACGAAAGACAAAGAGAAGAAGAAATGTATGAAAGCTATACCTCAAGAGCTGAAAACTTTCTTGAGGTTATTAGCGAAGCGGAAGACAATATGGTCCACTTACAAGCAAGATTAAATGCACTAATAGAGATTGGCAAAAAGTCAGAATACTTCACCGACACAACCGACCGAACCTAAGATGAATGTAACACTACCAGCGATATCACTCCCAAAATTTGACGGAAATCCCCTCAAATATAAAAGTTGCTGGGACCAATTTGATAACTTGGTCCATCAACAGAATATTGCCAACGTTATGAAGGTCACGCATCTCTTGTCTATATTGCACGGAAAGGCCAAAGCAGCGTTGGAAGGATTGCCAGTAACCAATGCTAGCTACAATGAAGCGATAGACATATTGCGCAATCGATTCGGAGACGTAACTGTAGTGCGGAGAGCGATAGAGCTACAGAAAGTATCGCACGCTTAACTGAAAATCTCGATAAATTATGTTGTCAGCTAAGAGCAGTAGATGAAGATCCGGATCACCCAGTGGTCCTGTTAGAGATTTAGCAGAAGCTATCTCCGAGTGTTCTTGAGTATATCCCAAATGCTGGAAGCTGTACAACCTCTCTCACACCGCAACAACAGCCCCGAANCCCGAATGCAACAATCAGTCACATATATCCAGTCGCAGAAACCAACCGCAGATATCAATGCGCTCATTCGCGTCATCATCACCAACTAATCCTTTCTTTCGACATGGTGCGTAATGTGGCCCCCGAACCGACTGCCACTTCTCCAGCACTCAAATCAGCGCATCTAAGCCAGCTACATCTCCTCACATTCGATGGCAAACCAGGTGAATGGTTTGAATTCTGGCAACTCTTCCAATCCAATCTAAATTAGGTACTAGATTTTTGCAAAGACTAGGATGAAACCGCTCAAAGATATTTCAATCCCCCGATCGGAACTCATGGCGTGCGTAATTGGAGTTCGAGCATTAAAATACGTTGAGGAACGGCTACAAATAGGTGGCTCTAGAAAATTTTTATGGTCAGATTCTAAATGTGTTTTGAGTTGGATTGCTATTAATCGTGCGTTACCAATCTTCGTAGCAAATCAAGACACGTGAAGGGAACCGAAAATCCTGCTGATGTGGCATCTAGAGGTGCGGGTCTTAGAATGTTAGCAGAACAGGAAACTTGGTGGCGAGGGCCAGATTGGTTGAGTAGAAATGAGAATGGATGGCCAATAAATAATGGATACTTAGAAGAAGAAGACGACGAAACAACTCCGGAGACTGTAGGGAATGTAAAAATAAGAAAGGACGTGACTAACATTAAGCATACAGACGAGAATGATTGGCTCGTAAAGACAGCTGAAAGGGTTAGCACCTGGAGAAAATTAAAGGGTGTAGTAGCATACCTAATTAGGTGGAAGAATAAAGTGAGCACGAAAGAAACATTCGGCGAAAAGTTGACCATGAGAGAACTGGAAATTGCTGAACGAAAAATTATGGAACTCACTCAACACCAAACCTTCGAAGATGTATGGGAAGCTTTATTAGAAAATAAGCCTCATCGCCTCAAGAAACAATTAGGAATAGAAATAAACGACGAATTGCTAGTATGTAAGGGCCGAATTAGAAATGAAGACCTTTCAATACGAACTAAGATGCCCTGGTTAATCCCAAGTAACCATCGTACAACAGAACTTATAATCGAAGAAATCCATCGAAAGAATTTCCATCAAGGCCTTCAACAAACTTTACGAAACTCGGACCAAATATTGGATCGGAAAGGGAAGAGCAGTTGTAAAGAAAGTTTCACGAAAATGTAGAGTTTGTAAAAGGTGGGATGGCGGTCCATTTGCATTGCCTCCCCCACCACCACTACCCTTATTTAGAACAAATCGAGCTTTCCCATTCCAACGATGTGGATTAGACTATTTTGGTCCTATAATGCTAAGGAAACTAGGTTCAACAATTATGATCTGGAGATGTCTTTGGACTTGTCTAGTAACGAGAGTCATTCACCTAGATACTGTGAAGAGTTTGGCAGCTATAGACTTTATAAAAGCCTTTCGAAGATTTATAGCAGGAAGATGGATCCCAGAAGTAATAGTGTCGGATAATGCCACTACATTTACGGCAGGAGGAAAGGTCATTATTGATGAATGTCAAAAAAGAGATATGGAAGAAGGATTGAGAGAATTTGGTAGTGAGAATGGACTAACATGGGAATTCGTTACAAGTCATTCTCCATAGAAAGGAGGAGTATATGAAAGAATGATGGGACTAGTAAAACGATCCATGACACAAAGCTTCCCAACGATTCATGACACAAAGCTTTTCAAAGGTTCCGAACAACTGGATGTTCTTCGACGTTTAGATGAGGGTCTACCTAAAGCTTGCAGATACTTCAAAGCAGTTCACGAACCTCTCTAACTATACATCATTCATATATCATCACTTATTCTTTATCTTGCCTTAATCTTAATCAATATTATAACGCTAAATTTGTTCTTAAAATTATTGTTTTGAATATGTGAGTAAAGAGAACGTTACTGTTGTTCATCTAAACGTCAAAACGTAGACGTTCGTCCAAATGTTCTCCTTTTCGACAGAACTATTCTCCTTCTCGACAATTACATTACTATTATTACTACTTGTTATTGTCATTATCATGTCATGATTATTGTCATTATCTGCCGCGATTATCGCGATATTGAATGGAAGATTGTAACTGATTACTACGGATCAGAGATTATCTCTGTTTTGGGATCAATTTTGGGATCAACACCGACAAACAACGATCTTAAATTCAATGATCAGTGTTCAATGATCACGACAGAGGCTATCTTCAAATGAATTATGCCTATCAATATCACTAATAAAATGAAACGACTGGGCTAAATCAAGATAATCGCATTGCACTCTTAATCAGAGATCACTTCTCGGCATAAGTAATTCTTACAAATGTTTAAGTTTCAAGGCATTCAGATGACTTCCGATTTTACATACTCATGGACCAAAGACCGCCACGCCCGTCGTCCCGAAGNATTAAAGGATGGAGTTGGAACAAAATGTTCATTTTTTGATCTTGATACCTTTTTATCTTGATATTTTATTAATATTACTATCAGTAATTTTATGAAGTGATGTTTCTAAAGTTGATTATTAATCTTGATTTGATCAGTTCTTTTGTTTGATATTGTCATCAGCATTTTCTCCTTATTATGGTTTATTATTATATAAACAATTGTTGGCAACCCGACAATTTGTTACCTTATCATGACTACTGTCGTCGTCAAAATTATGCTCAAAGTGTCCTGCTTTTCGACACCGGTCTATTTAGTCACATCATGCTTATAATGATTCATTCCTTGGTTGCAACGCTTATGTCTTATCGGAACAGATTATCAGTCCGGTTGGTGTTATCGTCGTTATCACTGTTCGGTCGTCTTTTTATTTATTAGCGATATTTCGATTTTATTTGTCGGCGATATTACGGCTAACAAACAAGAATGTGTAGAACATTTCCGATTTTCCGGTTTTATGGTCACTTTGCCACTTGTAAAGCTTGCGATATTGGTCCGTGAACGCACAAATGAAATATTTTCTTTCTTAGTGGTTGTAGTAGAATCTTTGTGAAAAGAACAAAAGAAGTATGAATCATGACTTCGATTCTGGATTCCCAAAAATTTTGAAACCAACTTCTTGACCTTCTTGACCTAAGTTCCGGGAGGAAAAGAAGACGACTCATGGAATTCGCCCAACCCTGGTTGAGAATCTCTGTTGGTCACCGTTAGTATTCAGGATGAGTAGAAAATGCAGAGTAATAATACGAGAATCAGATTGTAGTGCTCGAGCAGCATTCTCCATAATATTTCATAATATGTGGCTCCATTATAGAGAGCATCAGATATTGTCGCGACCGATACCGCGAGTAAATAAAAAAAATAAATAATGTTTGTCTGATACATTAATTAATTATGAGTAATGTTGTTGATGCACATTATTGTATTGTATGTTCTGCATATAATTCAATAATTGTACGATGCAATTAAAATTTAGTTGATTTGAAAGATCGTATGCTTTATAATATTCGATTGATTTGTACATAATTATGATTCACCAGAATGATGTACTATTTTAAATTCGAATCACATCATTGCATTTAGTAATGTAACCCAATTTCATTCTATTTTTAGCTACATTTATCTCCTAAATGGTATTATACATAAATTGTCTTTATCATATTTTCGAAAAGAACGATAATCGGAGATGATGATGTAGCTCATCGTGCCATCTGGAGGCTAAATGAAATCATATGTGCATGAATGATTTCATGCACAAAAAGATTCATATGGGCTTCAGACATCCGAGAAGGCCCAGCATCTAAACGCCGGTTACCGTACTCGACCAATATCAGCATTATGTTGTACAATTTATTATTGTATTTCAACTTTGCACTATCATGACACTATAAGGCTTCAAGTTATCGTTTTAGGCAATCTAATAATCTTACCCGCCCATGATATCTTCATATAAATATCTCAACTTATTAGCGAACTTCATTTATTCGACAAAAATTATTTAATAAATGTCATCATATTATCGACGTAATATAAATGTCGTCATCATCATCCGCTTGCTATCATTTATTATTTTACCATGTTAGCCCGTCTTTACCTATGAACCACCCTCTATTTTCTTGATCTATCTATTAAAAGACGAGAAGATAGAAGACGGTCGAAGGTGGAAATCGAAACTATCATCACTATATTGTTCCGATTATTTCAATATTGTTTGCTATCATTTAACACTCTTGCCCGTTGACATTTGTCTTGTTAATAGTGTGCGTGAAAATATCGTTTTGTGCGTGATGCGTATAACTAGGTTTAATTACCCAAGTTTGAGGTAGTGCCAAAGAAGAGTCACGAAGACATTGGAAGAAGGAGAAGAAAAGAGTATTGCCCAACTTATGGGATCATAAGTTATTTGTATCATCGATAAGTTGAATAATCCTGTTATTGGCGCTACATCGAACGAAGATTTGAATTTGAAGTCAAGTTATTTGAGGCTGAATGTTGGATTTATTTGCTATTCGAACCTATGCAATGGAATTACAAGTTGTTTGTGTCAGGAAGTCTAGAATTCCATTATTTGGACGCAGCCTCGAGATGTGAGATTATTCTCATCAGTGTATTGTGCTACCAAGATTCACCGAAAAAATATTTGCTTCGTTTGGATCTGTTATTTGACAACCAATCGTCGCAAGTTACCTATTATTCCTCAATACGATCTCGCGTACATTCCATGAACCAACGTGAGAACGTTCGCTCAGAGGCCGGACGAGAACTTTGTGCCAAGTAGATGACCGAGCAAGTCCAGCTGAGTAATCAAGTCAAGCTAAGCGATCAAGTCAACAACACCAAGAAACCTGAGTCGTTTTTCTCGCTTTTTCTTTCCGATTGATCCATTCTTTCGCAATTGCAGTCTTCCTTGTTTTTGCTTGTTTATTTTTTTGTCTCTATTGTTACCAACTAGGGGGGACCATCTGACCTTTAGTGATTCAGTCCACCCTCTATCAGTTAAAGTCACCCCCCTCTTTTACCAAGCTGATAGTCGGTACAGATATATTGTTATTACGAAATATTCACAATAAATGACTGCATAAAATTCTTCTAAAACCAAGTTTCACATATTTTTCTCAAAGGACTATTGTCCATATGTGACGGAAAACAAGAAAAATGAGAAAGAGAATGGAAGGATTCGAGAAAGAAAACCCGATAGATAAAATATGCTGCTTGTTAACGCGTATTTGAATGTTTCGATAGAAAGGATATTTGTAAATTGCATTTGTAAAAAATCATTCGCTTGTGTTCGTTTTATTCATCCTGATGTGTTGCGTTCAGTGTTAGTGTATTGTTGTTGCTTTTACTACTGTTGATTTTTTTTGTTATGTAATCAACCATATCATGACTTAAATTGTTTGTTTTTGTGTTCATGACTTCTGTAATTAATTCATTTGTTTGACTGTGCTCATTTGATTGTGATTTGAGTGTTTGTGTGCGAAGGATGTTCGGTTCTGAGGAGCAAACATCAAAGAAACTGAAGTTAGTGAGGTTAAGAAAGAAGGACAAAAGGAACGACTCAATAAGTCATCATTTATCTTTCATAACTTATCAAATTGCAAGTCAGAAATCAATTCACAAATTCATCGACGTGAATCTCGTTGATTGTGTGGACTGAATTTACAAATGAACCACTTATGAGACAAAGTTTCTGATCAAATTCAAAATGTTGAATGATTCCGTAAAAAAATTTATTTGGTATGGTTTTCTGATTGCCGAGTGGTCGGCATTCATGGTTTTGTGGAATGCTTTTGACGTTTAATGAGCATCCTCCGCAAAGCACAAACGTTATTTTCGTTGTTTCGTTGAAAGTGCACACGAAAACATCAGCGATCAGAGTGGTAAAACAATTCGCAACGGCTTATGGACCTCAGTGTATTATTTGGTAAGTGCTGGATTGTTTCTTTTCTGGATCGCAAATACACCTTGCTGTTTTTGTTCGTTGCTTTACACGTTCACCATATCGCTTGTTGATGTTGAGCTTTTCTAAAGGTGACAACGTTAATTGCTTGTGCACAATTCGTTGTAATCAGAAGCTGTGTGCCGATTTGACGACGAATAACGCAACTTGGTAGTAATTTCCAGGATTTTAATAGTGAACATGCCGCATTTCATCGAATTTGCACGAGTGAGTACCACAGAATACGATGAAATTGTACCGATGTTCAAATTACGTGCGTTTTTCCGAGGCGAATCAGATGATTATTTTCGTGAGTTTTCATTCGTTCAATGATCAGTTCTGCTTCATGAAATTGTTGAGCTCATTTCCGGCAGTCGCATTTTCTCAATAGCAGTTAATCATTGATGGTGCTTAGAAACCGTGTTTGATTGAGCCTAGAAACTGCTGAAGTTTATAGCACAGACAACATTATCGCTCAGTCAGGTGCCAGGGTTCGCACAGCGACATAGGAACTGCCTATCTTCAACGCACTACTGATAGGCAGTTTCAAGTGTGGTCATGCACCGGATATTTCAAGCGCCCAAAGTTGTTGAGCCGCCAGGTTGCATGTAAGATCATGTCACAAAAAAGTTTCCAACTGGGAGCCATGCAATTGATACTTCAGTGCATTCACAATCCTCAAAATGAAGATCTGCTTAATATGCCATGTTTGAATAATGTTGCAATATTGATAACAGTTGCTGCAAATCACTGTTTTGGTCACAGTCGCTTCAGTTTATTAATATNATGGCAAAACCTCTTCAGGATTCGTTCAGTCGCCTTTCTACGCAATGTCAGCCACTGCAAAGGTACGTACACGTCCAGTTGTGTTTGTGAATGACATCAATGCTGGCTTAGAACAATTATTTGAATCCAACCGATCAACAGTCAGCATGGAATTTGGTTTGGAATTTCATTTCTCAACGGATAGTTTATCGAGAATAAGATTTGCGAATGATGCAATTCGATTGTTCGATTTTGATGCTGAAACCACATCTGTAACTTCATCGCTGATGCAACGATTTCAACAGGCCGACAACAGGTTAATCATTAACGTTTAGATCGATCAGCTCACATCTGACAGTTTTTCAAATCAGTTCTTTCATTTCGTTGAAAGAATGATTATGTCAACATAAAAAGTGGTCTCGATGAAATCATTACACCGCAAATGTCGAAATATTGTTAATAATCTGATAGTTGAGAGTTAAATGGAGCACTGCGGTAATTATCGAAAATATTTTCAGTGAAACATTCGTAGTGAATGCGATCGATGGTCACAAAATATTACCATTTTCTTTACTTCCAACCATATCCCTTCATTTCTCACAACATTTCGCAAATGACAATTCGCCTAGAGCAATTTCAATTCCATTCCGAATAAAGATTTTCGAATTGGTTTGTCGATTCTATCAGTCGTTATTTTTAACCCAATAATCGCATAAACATATTTTTGCAATCAGAATTACTTCTCAACTTCAATTCAGAATTCCATTTTCCATTAGACGATTTTTTTTTT